AAGCCAATAGCTAGCCGCCACGTGTGCCTAAATTAAGACCGGCCAATAATGTGTCTCAAATCTCAATACAAATGGCAGGAACTCCTTTGCAGCGTGCATCACTAAATGCAAGAGTAATGCACAATGCAAAGAAGGCTACAGAACAGCGGGAAACACTTTTCTGCACGCGGGTTCTCCATAACAACAGAACACTCCATCGTGCAAAAGAGCTGCAATTCGGCGGGAACATAATTTAGCGGTGCCAAAGCACACACAATTAAAAAATCCACAACTTTGGGTTGTGACACGTCTTTGCTGCTGCTGCTTTGGGTAGCAAAAAATGAAATACTTTGCGAGTAGAGACCAAAAAGGGGTGGGAGAAAATGTACTCCCTAACAGGAGAATCCAGAAAAACTTTGAATGGAAAAGAATTAAGTTATGATTACCTCCCACCACACAAAAGGACAGAGAAAAATAGCCCCATCTTGTAACTGACCATAGTTCTCCTCCCCACCACCCCCCCCCCCCTGCAATTTCCTACCAACTAGTCAGAGATTAAGAGGTGACCTGCATTGATACTTCCATATGAGTGTCAGCCACATGTGCTTTTGCAACTGTACCAGATGCTCTTGGAACCAGAAAAAGAAAGCTGCAAACCTATATAACATAAGCTGTTCCAAGAGCCAGCTGCATTAGGACTTCTCAGCTGGGGTATTTTCTCGCTTGTACAGCTTCTCACTCCCAATTGACTCTCTACTGTCCTGAGCATGCTCTTCAAGTAGTCTGGCATACCCTAGATTGAGAAATTATTTTGACGTTTATGATTTCTAGAATTGCATATTTTACTGAAATCATAACTGTAGAGTGCCTGAAATGTCAAAGTTATAATGTGATTCATTATAAGTGTGCCAAAAGTTCATTAAACTTTTGACACAAACTCTTGATGCAAAGTGTTAATGTAAGATGTTAAATCATACAAAAACATACCTTTAACAAAAGAATTAGCTGAGCAGTCCCACTTACAGTAAACCTTAAAAGTGCTACAGAAAGGTATTGAAATGTCTTTGGTTGGCATTTATTTAGCTTGATGACTCTTACTGACTGTGAAGGCCCTTCTAGCCCTGAGGATGTTTGTTAATACTAGAAGCCATTATTTTTTCAAAGCTTGCTAAATTCATCAGGCTGAATAATTTTTTTAGAAATGTGTGTTCTTATTTCTGGCCATTGTTTCAAGATATTTTATCTTCAAAAGTGGTTTGGAGAGCACGTTCTTACTTCTCTATCCTGTATGTAAGAGAGAGATTCATAGATGTTAGGGTCGGAAGGGACCTCGATAGATCATCGAGTCCGACCCCCTGCATCAGCAGG